CCTAGTTTCGTTGATCTGTTCTACTGTTCTTTTGGTTTCTATTTCATTGATTTCTGCTCTGATCTTTATTATTTCTCTTTTCCTGCTGGGTTTAGGCATTATTTGCTGTTCTTTCTCTAGCTCCCTTAGGTGTAGGGTTAGGTTGTGTACTTGAGACCTTTCTTGTTTCTTGAGAAAGGCTTGTATTGCTATATACTTTCCTCTTAGGACTGCCTTTGCTGCATCCCAAAGATTTTGAACAGTTGTGTTTTCATTTTCATTGGTTTCCATGTATTTTTTTAATTCTTCTTTAATTTCCTGGTTGACCCATTCATTCTTCAGTAGGATGCTCTTTAGCCTCCATGTATTTGAGTTCTTTCCGACTTTCCTCTTGTGATTGAGTTCTAGTTTCAAAGCATTGTGGTCTGAAAATAGGCAGGGAATGATCCCAATCTTTTGGTACCAGTTGAGACCTGATTTATGACCCAGGATGTGATCTATTCTGGAGAATGTTCCATGGGCACTAGAGAAGAATGTGTATTCCGTTGCTTTGGGATGGAATGTTCTGAATATATCTGTGAAGTCCATTTGGTCCACTGTGTCATTTAAAGTCTTTATTTCCTTGTTGATCTTTTGCTTAGACGATCTGTCCATTTCAGTGAGGGGGGTGTTAAAGTCCCCCACTATTATTGTATTGTTGTTGATGTGTTTCTTTGCTTTTGTTATTAATTGCCTTATATAATTGGCTGCTCCCATGTTAGGGGCATAGATATTTACAATTGTTAGATCTTCTTGTTGGATAGATCCTTTAAGTAGGATATAATGTCCTTCCTCATCTCTTATTACAGTCTTTGGTTTAAAATCTAATTTGTCTGATATAAGGATTGCCACCCCAGCTTTCTTTTGGTGTCCATTAGCATGGTAAATGGTTTTCCACCCCCTCACTTTCAATCTGGGGATGTCTTTGGTTCTAAAATAAGTCTCTTGCAGACAGCATATCAATGGGTCTTGTTTTTTAATGCAGTCTGATAGCCTGTGTCTTTTGATTGGGGCATTTAGCCCATTTACATTCAGGGTAACTATTGAAAGATAGGAATTTAGTGCCATTGTATTGCCTGTAAGGTGACTGTTACCGTATATTGTCTGTGTTCCTTTCTGGTCTATGTTGCTTTTAGGCTCTCTCTTTGCTTAGAAGGACCCCTTTCAAGATTTCCTGTAGGGCTGGTTTTGTGTTTGCAAATTCCTTTAGTTTTTGTTTGTCCTGGAAGCTTTTTATCTCTCCTTCAATTTTCAATGACAGCCTAGCTGGATATAGTATTCTTGGCTGCATATTTTTCTCATTTAGTGCTCTGAATATATCATGCCAGTCCTTTCTGGCCTGCCAGGTCTCTGTGGATAGGTCTGTTGCCAATCTAATGTTTCTACCATTGTAGGTTACATATCTCTTCCCCCGAGCTGCTTTCAGGATTTTCTCTTTGTCTATGAGACTCGTAAGTTTTACTATTAGATGTCGGGGTGTTGACCTATTTTTATTGATTTTGAGAGGGGTTCTCTGTGCTTCCTGGATTTTCATGCCTGTTTCCTTCCCCAAATTAGGGAAGTTCTCTGCTATAATTTGCTCCATTATACCTTCTGCCCCTCTCTCTCTCTTTCTTCTTCTTCTGGGATCCCAATTATTCTAATGTTGTTTCGTCTTATGGTATCGCTTATCTCTCGAATTCTGCCCTCGTGATCCAGTAGTTGTTTATCTCTCTTTTTCTCAGCTTCTTTATTTTCCATCATTTAGTCTTCTATATTACTGATTCTCTCTTCTGCCTCATTTATCCTAGCAGTTAGCGCCCCCATTTTTGATTGCACCTCATTAATAGCCTTTTGATTTCTACTTGGTTAGATTTTAGTTCTTTTACTTCTCCAGAAAGGGTTTCTCTAATAACTTCTATATTTTTTTCAAGCCCAGCTAGTATCTTTAAAGTGATGATTCTGAACTCTAGATCTGACATCGTACTAATGTCCGTATTGAGTAGGTCCCTGGCAGTCGGTACTACCTCTTGTTCTTTTTGTTGAGGTGATTTTTTTCCGTCTTGTCATTTTGTGCATAGGAGAATAGATTAATGAGAGAACAAAATGCTAGCAGAGTAACAATGTCCCCAGAAAATATACTCTAAACAAATCAGAAAAGACCTGAAGAAGTGGGAAAAGAAATGGAAAGAGAGAAAAAAGAAAAAGAAAAAGAAAGAAAAAGATAAAGATAAAAACAAACAAAAACAAACAAAACAAAACAACAACAACAACAAAAAAACAGAATGTGATCAAATATGATCAGGCTAGTATATAGATCTGTGCCACACACTAGATTTGGGGTGTGTTTTGGTCTTTTAGAAGAAAGTGCCTCCCAAAATTTTTAAAAAAGAAAAACTTATATATGTACAAAAATAAGGGTTGATATGATGAAGGGATGGAATATGAGTGTAAAAATGGAAATTATAAAAAAATTTATAAAAGGAATTGATAAGAAGTTGTTTGAAAAAAGAAAGAAGAGGATTTAAAAAAAGAAAAAAAAGGGAGAGAATGTGATCAGGCAGGGGAATAGAAAACACCATATACTAGAGATTTAGGGTATATTTTAATCTGTTAGAAGAAACGATCTCAAAATTTTAAAGAGAGAACAACTTATATATATATGCCAAAAATACGGGTAACTACTATGAAGGGATAGAATATGACTAAAAATGAAAAATAAAAATGTTTTTTTAAAAAAGGGATTGATAAGATGTTGGTTGAAAAAGGGAAAAAGAAAAATTAAAAAAAAAAAAAGACAGTTAAAAAAAATTAACTTTAAAAGACTAAAGAATCATGGTAAAAAAGCCATGAATTCTATGTGCAGTATTCCCCTAGCGCTGGAGTTCTGCCGTTCTCATTGATCGGTAAACTTGGTCTTGGCTGGCTGTTCTCGCTGATCTTCTGGGGAGGGGCCTGTTGCCGTGGTTCCCAAATGTCTCTGCCGGAGGCGGAATTGCCCCGCCCTTGCCCCCTCCCGGCTGAGTAATCTGCTCGGGTTTGCTCTCTGGGCTTTTGTTCCCTGCGAGCTTTCCGTACAGCTTTGGAGGCTGAGCGTGAAAATGGCGGCCTCCCAATTTCTGCCCCCGAGGAGCCGAGAACTCGGGGCCCCACTCCTCAGTGAGCCCCCAGAGAAAAGCCGACAGTCACTCCCGTCTCCCCGGTCTCCGGCCGCACCCTGTGCTCGCCCGGCCTGTGACCGCGCGTTTCTATCTCTGGCACCCGACTTGGTGTGGAGTCTCCAAACCCAGCAGATCCCTGCGGTGCACCCCCGCTCCGCTCCCCCCGGGGGAGGAAGGTGAGTCTCCCCGATCTGCCGCTTGTTGGGTCCCTGCTGGAGGAGCAGGGGCCCGACGGTGCCGCGGATCACGGTCTATGGCGACCCCGAGCTGAGAGCCCGCGCCTGGGCTCCGCCTCTGCAGCCGGCTTCCCTGCTCCGATACCTGGGAGCTCTGCCGCACTCAGGCACCCCCAGTCTTTCTGTGACCCCGAGGGTCCCGAGACCACACTGTCCCAGAGGGCTCCACCCCCCGCTTAGCCACCAGAGTGACGTCCCTCAGCGGAGCAGACTTTTAAAAGTTCCGATTTTGTGCTCCGCGGCTCTATCACTTGCCAGAAGTGACCGACGGAGGCCCCTCCCCCGCCGTCTATCCTCCCGAATATCGCCTCGGATTCACTTCTCCGCACGTCCTACCTTCCAGAAAGTGGTCGCTTTTCTGATGAGAGAGTTGTTGCTCTTCTTTTCTTCGATCTCCTGTTGAGTTTGTAGGTGTTCAGATTGGTTTGATCCCTATCCAGCTGAATTCCTGAGAGGAGACGAAATCCAGGTTTCCTACTCCTCCGCCATCTTCAGTATTATCTCCTCTTGAGGAATTCCATCCACCAAGACTCTATTTCCAAATAAGGTCACATTCTGGGGTTCTGGATGGAGATGAATTTTGAGGGGACACTATTCAAACCAGTACAGTGTCCATAATTAATTTTGGAAAGTTATTGGCCAATATTCCTTCAAATATTTCTTTTGCCTCTTCTTTCTTTTCCTTCTGGTGTTTTAATTATGCATATATAACACCTTTTGAAAAGATCCCATGGTTCTTGGATATTCTGTGTTTTTCATTCTTTTTTCTCTTTGCATTTCAGTTTGGCAAGTTGCTATTGACCTATGGTAAAACTCACTGATTTTTTCCCTAAGCTGTTGCAATTACCTATGAGCCCATCAAAGGCGTTCTTCATTTCTTTTACAGTGTATTTGATTTCTAACATACCCTTTTGATTCTTTCTTATATTTCCCACCTTTCTGCTTACATTACCCATCTGTTCTTGTGTGTTGTCTTCTTTTTTCTGTTAAAGACCTTAAGATGTTAGTCGTACTTATATTAATTAATATCTGGTAATTCCAACATTTCTAATATCTGAGTCTGATGATGACTTTTTCTCTTCAGATTATTTTTTCTTGCCTTTGGCACAGCTTGTAATGTTGTTGTTCTTGAAAGCAGGATACGTTGTTTCAGATATTAGAGACTGGGGTAAATAGGGCTTTACTGTGAGGACTTCTATTAATATGGCTAGGAGTCAGGCTGTAGCTATAGCTGTGTTAGCTGAATTACTGGAGGCTTCGAATTCCTCTAGTGTCCTTGCTTTTATCTCCCCTCCTGACTTTGGGCTTCCCTAAATATTCCTTCTCAGAGAGAGTCTGTGTCTTGTAGTTCTTTCAGGCTCTATTCACTGTTATTATACTGAAGCCCTGCTGTGGTGATGGTAAGTATAGTGGAGGGGGGGGCATTCTATAATCTGATTAAATCTCAGTCTTTTAGTGGGCCTGTGTCTTGGGGCTGGGTGTGACCTTCACAAATATTTCTCCTGTGGTATAGATTTTCCTCCCAGTTTCCTAGTTCCTTCCTTGGCTGCCAGGACTCTAATCTGTTTTCTTTAAACCTTATTGACTATGTTTTCCCCCCTCTTAGGTGAAACGGGTGAGACAAGAAGGCTGGAGTGGCTGGCTGGGAAGAATGTCCTTCTTCTCGCTGGGATAAAGCTCTGGTAAAATCTTTTCAGTAGACCTTTGTTAAGGAGAAGGCTCTGAGTGTATTATTTCACAATGACTACTTATCTTGTCCCCCCCCATCCCCAGGAGCTATGAGACAATGGATCTTCATAATGACACCTTGATGGGGTTCCTGGAGTTAAGTCCACCAAAGTAAGGTGGGGGCTATTTAAGATAGGAGTTTCTCATTCTCCTACTAGTTCACCAACAGCGTCCAGGAATTCATCAAAATTACCATTTCAGTGTTCCTACAAGTCAATGGCTCCAGCATCTTCTGATCCTGGTAAACAAATCTTGACTGTGACTTTCAGGATGTGCTTGTCTCTTAAGTGATGTACCCTGTGATCTCAGTTCTCTGATGGGTCCAAGAAAAGTCGCTGAACTTTTGTTTGCATAGCCTTTTCTTATCTTAAGGATGTTTGGAATGATGACTTCTAAGTTTCTTACATGTCAGAGTGGAAACCAGAAATCCATTTGGAATAAATTTAATAATTTTTTCCTAGTCTAAATTTCTTTTTTGCTTATTTATAAGAGAAAATTTTGAAATCTTTAAAAATATAAAATAAGAATTTAAAATTTCCTTCACATATTCGGTCTTTTTTTTTTTTTTTTTTGGATACTAATGCACACCACCAAGGTTTGTTGCTGTTTTTCCCAGCATTTCTATGAGGCAGATATTAGTTGTGTGACCTTGGAAAAGTTAATTATCCTGTCTGTGCTCCAGTTTTCTCATTGGTAATATAGACTATAAATAGTACTTTCTTTTAGGATTATTATGGAGATTAAATGAGATGATGTATATATGAATACTTAGCACAGTAAATACTTGACATAAAAATGTTCTCAATAAATGTGAATTTATTAACACTTTTGTTGTCAGTCTTATTCTCCAGACAGAGCAAATAAAGTAAATGTTTTTTGTTTTTTTTTAACTGATTCTCACTTCTAGATTCTTTATTTTAGAATTTTCTGCACTTTGAGCTGCAGCTGGCCGTATAGATGTGGGAGCTGCAGGCTTGACCACACTGGAACTTGGCTAGATGAAGTGCCATCATCCTAATTGTGTGCAAGGGCCACAGTTAACTGCATTAGCTCCTCTGAGCTCTCCTGTCCTCTCCCACATGTTGGCAGCATAAGTCAGTATACACAATAGCTTTAGATCAATCCAACCTGAAAGTGGCCCCTGAAGAAAGGCACTAAGTATTCTTTGCTGGTCTCCTGCAAAATTTTAAAATCTAAAAAAAAGAGAAGTTCTTTAGTCCTCAATTATGATAGAAATGTTGTATTTTAAAAAGATTTCAACTGGTTTATTTTAATTATCTTTTCCTACGAAGTCATCCTCTTTTTCTCCAATTTTGCTCATATTGTATTATACTGAGGTATTGGTGGTTGAAGGAAGATGGGGTGAATAATTTCAAAAAAGGTCTTGCATGATTCAGAACCGCATAACCATATGCTCATTTCTAAAACTCCATTTACAGCAGGGGCCAAGGCTGGAAGTTCTGACAATGCCATAGGGGAGCATTCTCCCTGGAAAACTGTGGCATTGAATGATGATGAACACAAGAGCAAACCAGGGCACATTTAAAGAAATTCAGCTTTAAAAAGATGTCTGAATCTTAAGTCTCTGCATGAACTTTCAATAGTCAGGTTTTCTATATTTATATGTAGAAGAGGGAAGAAATCTAGCCCCTATGTCATAATTTCTTACCATTTGTGTTACATTTAATTTTTTGAGTCTATTTTACTTGGTTTATAATGCTATCATTTTCTTCCTCCTGAAATTATGGTAAATTTTTATACACATATAAATGTTTTAGTATTTAATGCTTTTATACTATTAGTGGGACACTTGATGGGACAGTAAAGGTCTAGTCCTGTTCCTAGTAATTTCCAATCTAATAGGATATCAAAGACTGTTTTCTAATCTTTCTTTTAATATAGACAAGAGTGGAATTCTGTAACCTCTTTATTGTTTCAATAAGTCCATAGCATCTTTAATTTTGACAAATTATTTTTAAAGTCCAATAGCACTTGATATAATCATCTTTGAAGGTTACCATGTTTGTAACCATCATCTCAGTGGACCCTTATAACAACACATGAACAAGGAAGTGCAAGCAGCTGTTGCTAGAATTCTGATATAACCAAATCTACATGCTCATCTAGAACTGTGGTATATCAAGGCAATCCTCTAGGATTGGTTTTTACGTAAGGTTCTGATATTTCCTGGTGAGTTGCAAAAGGATTTTGTACCCTTTGTCTCTAGGATTCTCATTCCCAAAGGGGAAAAGACAAAGTTTGCCCCTAATCTCTAATACTGGGCATGTGTAAGGATGGCTGGATGCAGGGTACTCCAGAAAGCAGGGATCTGACCCTGAAGTAGGAGAGAAAAATGACATTAGTCACCATTTTAGGAAAGTCTTTCCTAATTAAAACTATTCCTAGTCCAAAGTAATTCCTTCAATCAATCTCTATTATTCTACATCCTTTTTTTTTTTTCTTAAAGCACTTACCACTCTCTGATACTTTTGGTCATTTCCTTCCTTAGCATATATCTTGCTCCTGTAGAACTCATGATTTTGTAGAGAGAGGACCTGGTCTTTTTTGGCTATCACTGAATCCACAGTACCTAGAATAATACCTGACAAACAGTAGGAGCTCCATAAATATTTCTCTCTGTGACATTAGTTCCAGGTCTCATATGAATAAGCTTAAGAGTAGTGTCCCTAAATGAGCTCTACCTGGTCACATAAGAGTGCCTTAGTACATTCAGGCTGCTATAACAAAAATACCATAGGATGAGTGCCTTAAACAACAAATGTTTATTTCTCACAGTTCTGGAGGCTAGGAAGACCAAGATCAAGGCATCAGCAGGTTTGATACCTGGTGAGGACCTGCTTCATGGTTCATGGATAATAGTCTTGATGTAGTCTCACATGGTAGAGGGAGTAAGAGAGCTCTCTGAGGTCTCTTGATGTAATACATGACATAACACAAGGAAGCTAGGGCACCAGGAGAAGCATATGAATTTGTGTCAGTCAGAATGAAACAAGGTTTTGTCAATTGTGTGTTTGTATATATTTGAGAGGAGTCACATTTGAAGCTGCTCTTGAAAGCATCAGGTACAGCAGAATAGTTTGGGGCCAATCAGTCCACATGAGTTTTTCTGTTTTCATAGCACATAGATGGGGATGAGCCAGGAGTGGGTCAGATTGCCAGCAGACTGTGGTACTGGATCCAGGAGACATAGAGAGCATTAACTGTTTTCCACTTCACCTTTAGTGCCTCCTCAGGTATGAGGTGTGCCCTCTCCAAGTGCCGAAATTGTTGTTCTTTTCCCATAGTTATGAAATTGATGTATCCATCCCAGTATAACATCATCTTTCTTTAATGAGCTCTGACTTGGACCAGACCTTTTGCCTAGAAGGGTGAGGTGCATGTGAGACAAGGCATTTTTACAAAACTTACAAAGACCCATAATGTCCTCCATTTTGACCCACATGGGCCATGTAGGAGAGCTCATATATGAAACCAAGTGGTCATCATCCTTATGATCTAGAACCTTGTCAATCCTAAGAGATATTCTGGGTAATTGAACCAGAATTAAGTTTGTTTCCCTACAGCCACTTTTGTCAGGGCTGTGATCCAAAAAGTGAGCCAAACAGAATGGTCCAGGGTTGATTTTCGGGAAAGAAAGACTGGACATGCGTAAGAATGGTCAATGTTGGATGCTATGCATGCAGTGGGTTTGGATGGTGGATGAGGAACCTTGAGTTTGGAGACTTCACTGCTTTTATAACAAGCGGTAAGTAAACTTACTCTTTGTTTTGGAGGGAGATATTATTTCATCTTTTACAGTTTGCTTGTTGTAAACATAACCTTGAGAAATGGCCTGGGTAAAGAGTGGGCATTGCATTTTTGGCCTGTTTTGCATGACATAGAAGAGCAAGAGGGACCATGGAGGAGTGTCTCTTCCAATAGACTATAAGAAACAATCCTCTGAAACTCATTTCTGTCTTGACCAATGGGAAGTATGTTTTAACATTACTCAGTGCCCTTGAGAAGGGGACCCCCCAAATTTTCTATTTGGTCTTGATATGAGGAATAATAATTGGGCTTCACCCTAACAGTTGGAAATGTGGAAATGGATCCTTTTTCTTCCTTCTTGGCTGCTGGAGAGACTAAAATCAAATATGTACAATCTCTGGCACAAGGAGGTCTTTGATAAATCATGTGAATGAAGGATACAGAACTGTAAAGTGGGATGTGCATTTTATGGTGGACTCACCCGTGGTTCCATTTTATTCCCTGCCTTTTTATCCCTTTATCTCATTTTTTCTGTCATTTAAATCTGAATCAAAGATCCATACCTTTTATTTTTTATAAACTGGAATTCACATCTAGGTCTACTAATTCCAGTGCCCTATGTTGTATCTAGTTCTATTCTTTTTGAAGTTGGAAAACAACTGGTTAATATTTTTATCTTAAACAATTTGTAAAGAAAGTTATTCAGTCTATCTCCTCTCTCACTACCATGTTGGTTCTGTTTCTAGTGGTTTAGTCAGTTTTGTTATTTCTCTCTGTACTCTAGACTCTCATGTTTTGTACATGTAGACCCAGACCCTCTGCTGTTAATTTGAAGACTTGTCTCATCTTTCTTCAAGCTGACATGCTCAGGCCTTTTAGCTATGTATATTACTGATAACCATATTAAAGCTATTTTTTTCCACACAGTACCATACTTAGTTATGTCCATTATCCTTCATCCTGTTATTTCTATTACTTCTTTTTGGACTGAAAAATTTATGAGGATTTATATGTTATAATTTCCTGCTATAGGCAGACAGAAAAATACATTGTGGGTTGTAGCTATGCCCAGGTAAACACTCAGAATTCAGAAGCTGCCTATAGGAATCAAATGTTTTTATTGTATAAATGCTTGATCATTTGTTTATGCAACAAAAATTAAAAGTAGCTGAAAAATGAATGGACATACTGCACAAAGAGTTGTTTAAAATAACTGAAAGTGGTATGACCACATTTGACTACTGGGGTAGTGATCCAATTGACTACTCTGTCCTGGAACAAAGTTACCTGGAAAGCAGACATTTTGAGCATACAAAACAATGTGCAATAATTTAACATTTTCTTTTTAAAATCAACCTATGAATTAAATTCTAAGTTTAAGTGTATCACCATCAATGAGAAGATGGGGGTAGAAGTCCCAGATACCTATATATTGAATTTTTATTTACTCTCTTCAAATAATTTACTGGGATTTCAATAACAAGGACATTTTTTAGTGATTGTTTAAACCATCCTCTTCATTTGATGTGCTTTTGTTGACCTTTCATTTTGTCCATTCTTTCACTCTCTACTATATTTCACATAATATATGATGCAATTGGTAATACAGTACCATACGTTTGAAAAGAAGTTACAGAAATAATAGTCATGAATTCAGAGACCCAAATATCTAAACCTTACTGAGACTCAAGCTTGATATTTTATTGCCTTGCTTGACAATGAGTTCTGTTACTGATTCTAAGTTAGCAAAACATATCAGTCATTATCCTTTTCCTTATAAATAAAACCATGTATCTCATTGCAGGTAGACCTCTATTTATGACCCAAATTTTGTAGCAGTAGAGAACATAGAATATGCTATGAAAGCTGAGCCTGAACGAAATCCACATATTAAAAAAAACCCACTACTTTTACATGTGTAAGTCCCCCCACATTGTATACTCATTTTTTAAAAT